ATATATATATATATATATATATATATATATGAATTTTACAAAATTATATGAATATAAAAATTCCTAGTAAATTTTATTACGATAAGTTTACTGACATGACTTTGTGTAGAAATAGAAACAAGAGCAGAAAATAAATATAATATTTATATAACAATACATTTTTTATTCTATGCTTATTATGGCTTTCTTTCTTATTATGGCTTATCATGGCTTTCAGTCTTAACATTACCAATTCAGTTTAGAAAATTATAATATAATAATAATTGGAAATGTAATTAAATTTTAATGTAAAATTATAGATTAATAAAAAATAAAATAAACATTCTATTACTTATATTTTATATTCAAATTTCATATATGATTATATTTACACTATTATGTATATTATTATGTACATTTTTTTAATTACAAAAAATTTTTCGGTATTTTAGAAATAGAAAGTCCTTATCATCTATTTTATATCTGATTTATGTAAAAATAAAAAAGTTAGAAATCATTTTTATTTGTAATATAAAATTTGTATAAAAATAATTATATTAACTTTTACAAATGATACTATTCGATGGAATTTATTCAAAATAATCGAAAATGACTGAAAAACAATTACGTGAGTATAAATCATTGATTATTTATTATAAATATTTATTCATTATATATGTATTAATGCAAAATATTTATTTGTAAAAAATTGATTTTAATGTATGTTTCTAATATCTGTTTTCTTGTGATATTTTAATTTTAATATTATATTAGATTATAATAAAATATAAAATAATTTTGAAAATAATATAACATATGAAACACTTATAGGTTATAAATATTAATAAATTTTATTTTGAATTTATTATTTGAAAGAAATAATTTCTAATAAATATATTTAATATTAGTGGAATATTATGATATTTTTTAGCACAAGAAGTGACAAAGCACAGTTTTCGTCAAAAAGTATGGGATTATTTGATGAAGAATGATTTAGTCAATTTTCCTCTTTCTGTATACGATCGTATACCAAATTTCAAAGGTGCTACAGAAGCAGCACAACGTTTAGCAGGATTGGATAATTTTAAACAGGCAAAAATTATAAAGATAAATCCAGATAAACCACAAGAATCTGTAAGATTCTTAGCATTAGTAGCTAATAAAGAAATATTAGTTCCAATTCCCAAACTAAGATCTGGTTTGTTTCTTCATATTACACCAATTGCTGGTGCTTCAAAAAATGAATTAAGAACATTATCAAAAATACATGGTTTGACAGAAGTTGGTAAACCACTTGGTATAAATTCTAAAATAAAGGTAGTACATGTTATTTATTAATAATAAAGACTTATTATTATTTAAATCTGTTTTCATTTTACATGTTATTATTTATTTTTAGATAGATCTTGTGATATTGGGATCTGTATGTGTTAGTCGTGATGGATATAGACTTGGTAAAGGTAAAGGATTTGCAGATCTGGAATTTGCTATGATGATGAGAATGGGTGCAGTTACACAGGATACTATAGTTATTACAACTGTGCATGATTGTCAAGTTTTTGATAGTCTTCCTCATCAAATATTTAAGAAATATGATGTACCAGTTGATATAATTGTTACACCTACTGAAACGATAATAGTAAACCCAAAATTAAAAAACCTAATTGTATTATATGGCATATGCTTAGTGAAAGGAAAATTAAGTCTATGGAAGTATTACAACAACTAAAAGAAATGGATGAGAAGTAAAATTTGAAATATTAATTGAAATTGATACTATGTATATACATACATGCGCGCGCACGCGTATGTTTATAATACATTAAATTGTTTATGTAAAATATTTGAATTGTTTTCAGAAAAGAAAAAATAATAACTTTAAAGGAAGAAGATTCAGATGTAGAAATAAAAAAATATCACTCTCATATAAAAAATAAGAAACGTTTTAACATAAAGAAAGTTTTCTCAAATGTTAATGATATTGAAAAAGAAGAATAAAAGCATGTAAAAACATGTTTTCTTAAAAAGCGTAAAATTAATAAATTTAAATTTTCTGATACAGTTGAGGTAATGCTTATAATCAATGTATATTTATTATATGTCATAATATTATTGCAATATTTTAGGTGAAAATGGAAAGTAATAATAAAAATAAGCAACAATATCGTCAAAATTTGAAATCGAAATTTAAATCTCAAATTGAGTTTTCTTTAAAATTATCCAATATTTCATCCAGCGCGAGAATACGCGATTTGAAAAATACTTTATTAAAGCGTGGTATTAAACCGAATGAAATAACTTGGTTAGGAAATCGTGGTATTTGTTATCTTCATTTCAATAAACTTAAGCAGATTAATAATTTGCCGAATCAACCAATACAAATTGATTCAATAATGGCAAATCTATAGCAATTATGTATTGGGATATCTACTAATAATACGAACAATTTTATAATAGTAGAACCTGCTAAACCAATATCTAGAATTGAAATTACAAACATGACATCAGTTTAAAAGACAATCAATTTTTAATAGTATTCAACTCATATTTTTGTATGTGAGTTTATTTTGTCGGTAATTATTAATTTATATAAATCAGTAATAGTTTAAATATAATTAAAGCTTTATAGAAGATAATTTATAATATATTTTGCATTTATATAATTAATAAAAAATATTTGGACATTGTATTGCGTATAAGTTTGTATAATCATTAATTACATTTAACATTTAATTTATAATTAATTATATTTTTGATAGTTATAGTAAAAAAAAGATAAAAAAAAAAGATAAAATCAAATTTAAAAGTGAATTTATATATATAAAAATATTTCTTAATATTAAGAATTGTATATTATTGATAAATTCACAATAATTTTTAGTAATTAATTTTAAATAATTAAAAAAATTTTAATAATATTAAATACTGTGATCATATATAAATAAAAAATATATATAATTATAATTAAGGATAGTGCTCTATACATATTTGATAACGCTTATCTAATTATAGACTGATAATTCCTGTATAATTTATGAGATATACAATAGTAAAAATTTATATTTTTTGTTTATGTACTACTACTATTCTATTTTTCTGAAAAAACTTAAATGAGAGTAGTAAAATACGATTTTTATATTGTAATATTTTTTAGGCATGTATTTTATTAAAAAATTCGATAATTGAAAGATATATTTAGATGTAATATATCTAAATAATCGGAAAAATGGCAATATATATCTTTGTAATCTTGTGTATTAATTGTGTATTAATAAGTATAGTTAATTATTTTTAAAATTCAAATATAGATAGTTTATTATTGTTGTTAAATTTTTTAATTAAATTTTTTAATTTATTAATTAATTATTATTCTTATTAATACATAAGTAAATAAGAGAAATAAAGATTTTCTTAAATTATTATCTCGAGTAATTAGTATTAAGTATCTATTTATTAAATTCAATGTAAAATTCATATTATTGGATAATAATTTTAATTACATTTTTTAATAACAGGATATGATATATTTTTATTTTTCTTTTCTTTTCTGTTCTTTTTCCTTAAATTAAATTTATCAAAAATTAATGATGAAAACTATTTATTTTTTCTTTTTTTTCATCATAATTACTTTTTTTTCCAGAAATAAAATTTTTAGATTAAATTTTAGATTAAATTTCATGTAAAAAATTTTTTGTATAAACATTATTAAAATTGTGATATTAGAAATTATTGATGTCTCTGTTTATCATTTAATAAAATATCAATGATAAAATATCTATTATTATCATTGATATTAAATAAGACGACCGATTGTTATATTATTAATGGAAAAAATTTATCGATAAAATTTTTTTCCATTCGCAAATAGAATTTTTCTTATTTAACATTTATTTTGCGATTTTTTTTTATTTCATTCTGATAATCTGATGATATAATAAAAGAAAATATATCTGTTATCATATTTCTTATCATTATATTTTCCATAATATAAAGTTTATTAAATGTAATTTTCTATTTTTTTGCGTTTCTATATTTAATATTAATATTTCTTTATTTTTTTTGTTTAAATTATTTTGTTATAAATTTTCTTAAATTCGCGTCTATATTTGAAGTTTATCGAACTTTTTGAACAAATCAAAAATGTAAACCATTCTTCATTCACGGTCATGTTTTTTTTTTTTTTTTTTGCTTAAGTTATTTTAATAGAAAAAATAAATTATAAAATTCTACTGAAAAGATTTTTCTTGTCACTTTTTTTTTTTCATGAAATGGTATCTTTATATTGATTATTTAATATTTTTTCTCTCGATGATATCATAATTTAAATTCTATATATATATTATTCTATATATAATTCTATATAAATATATATTTAGGATTTTTTTTTATTAATCAAATCAATTATCAAATAATATCAAGACAATGCACGTTTTATTTTTTCTTCTTGTTGATTATTTTTGCTACTTTTTTCTTGCAATATTTATTTTGTGTTTTGATGCCGAATATCGATCATGGATCTATATAAGAATAATAACGATTAAAATTCCTTATTTGATCATTTATCAAAGAAAATATTTTTATTTGTTGCAAAAAAAAAAAAAGAAACAAGAACATTCGATGGGACAAATGATATTCAACTCATTTTTTTTGTTTTTTCGTTTTTTAAATTACCGTTTAATTTTACATTATAACGTAGATATATTCTTTCTTTATAATTATTTATAAAATTACATTACATTCTTGGTGTTCGTCGGTTTGATTATCGAAGGAGTGGACTTTGATGTTCTTAAATAAGATTTGAAGTAGAAGTGTGCGCGAAATGATGGCAGGTATGCATTTTGTCAGACAATAATATAAATTGAGAAAAGATGCGATTTTTATAAAGTTAATCATAATTTGTTAAAGGATTTGAATGATATGATTTATGTATCTCTAATAGATCTTAAATTTTGTTTAAATTTACAAAATTTATTGGAATCAAAACTACACAAGTTCAGTAACTTTCTAAGAAAAAAGTTAAGTAGGATATATCAACTATTAAAGTGAAGGATAAGTTTAGTAATAATAAGTTTAGTAAAAATAAGTTTAGTAATAAGTGAAGTAAGTACGAAGATTATTCCAAATGTGTTTTGGACCGCGCGCTAGCTTCAGTTTTTTTTTTTTTCAGAAGAAAAGTAAGATCTAGGAAGAGAAAATATTATAATTCTTTTTTCTTCTTCCTTTTGCTAAGCTTTTGTTTTGGTAAAATGCTCTTTAAAAGGCTTCAGTTTGGTCGAGTTATTCTTCTTTCGTTTTTTTATAAAAATAAACGATACATTTTTTTTTTAAGAAAGAATAAAATATAGTATGAGATCTCAATCGATTGAGATACATATTAATTTTTTTGGAAAAACAGAATTATTTGTAAAATTATTATTCAAAAATTTATGTTGAACTTTTTCTACCGTTCAATCATAAATTTCGAATATTTTATATATATTAAGGCTAGGATTACGAACGTTTAAGAAAATGGAAACATTTCGTTTCTGTCGAGCGACTTGTGACTACGACGGCCACATGATCAACGATTATCGCGAATAACGATGATAAATAAAAAAAAATTAAAGAAAAATAAAATGAATTCTCTAATATAATATATATATATATATTGCAGAAACGGATATTGATCGGTGATCATCTGATAGTAAAACAGTAATAAAACATAAATTGCTACGACATCCATGCTGATAGATCGAATAATCCAGTATTTCTTTTTTCCAATGAAAACTATAATATAAATGAAATTATTTAATGAACATTGTTTGCAGCAAATAGACCTTTTATAACGCTATTTTAAACATTCGTCTCTTTTCTTTGTAGTATTCGTGTGATCACGGTAATTTAAAAAAAATACCAAAAAAAAAAAAAAATGAAATGAATAATAATTCTAATTTTTTATTATTTCATTGAATTCATGATCTTTATATTAACTTCTAATAATTGCTGAAATCAAAGAAAACCGTCGATCGTCAAAGGACTAGATTTAAATTTATCACGATCGAGAATAAATTTTATAAATATTTCACTCTAAATCGGAGAACAAATGTAAATTTCAACGAAGTTTAAACTGTTCATTATATACTTTGATTTTTTTCACATAAAAAAGTGTTCAGAAAGAATTTACGATGTGGAAGGTTCGGGACTTGCATCGATATAATCGATATCCGACGATGTTGCAGTGCTAATTCGTCTTCCTTGTCTCGGGGATGCACTTATGCGTGTCTTCACGTTAGTAGTTGATACGCTCAATCGATTTCCGGTTTGCTGTGCTGGCTGTTGTTTCGTTCTGTAATTATCAAATTAAATTCTTTGTATAATAAATTGTTCGTGGAAAAAGAAATTAATTAATATTTAAAGAAACATTTGATAAATGTTGAAGAATAGGAATTTTTAAACCTCTTAGAAATTATGATTTTATGATTATAAGAACAGATGAAAAAAAAATGAGACGAATCATCCTATTTTTTTCATCGAGAACGACAGAATTTTGTATCGGAAAATTGTATAAATCGAACGTTTTATATATCGAAGAATACGACTCTTGTTGCATTTGATTATCCTATATCGCAAAAAGCGAGATCAAAATAGGATATATATTAAAGGATCGTTTATATTATATTTCAGTTTTTTATGGCGCGAATTTTATAATCTGTTATATTATATGTATAGTTATATATTATTCTCAATCGATAAATTTTCGTTTTCACAGGCCCAAAAATTGTCTGAACTCATATTGTTTATTCGATTAGAGATTTTATTCGATTAATTAAAAATTTACGATTTTTTTTTCATAAATTCATAGAGAAACAATGATTTCCAGATAAAATTTTCTAGAAAAAAATATTATATCATTTTTTCGAAATCATTTGCATTAAAACAAAGAAATTATTCATTATTAACGTTTTCTATTGTACTAATTTATAATAATGTTCTACAAGATATGAAAAAACAATAAAACATTCACATAAAATGATAATCTTAATTAATCTTTTCTTTCAATTTTATGAAAATTAAACGTATATATAGAATAATTCATTTCTAGAAACGTATAAAAAATCTATCCACGATTATTTCATTCTTACGCCTAAGGGTGTTATCTTTAATTACAAAAACTCTAATTATTTTTCTTATTAAATTCTCTCTCAGAATTAATATTAATTAATATATAATAAATAGTTACCTCAAAATTACTTTTACGTTTCATTATCATTTACGATTAAGAAAGAAAAAAAAAGAACGACAATTATAGAATGCAATAGTAATTAAAGAAATGGTTTAACTCACTTCAGCCTTTCCTCGGCACCCTTCATGGCAGTGTTCAAATCCTCCTCCCACTGTTTCTCTTTCCTTCCCTTTCTTTCCTCTCCATCTCGCGTTCTCGATTGTACACCCGATATTCCGGAATGAATGTTAATCTTCTAAAATCGACGCTTGGTCCCGCACCCTCCGCGAATCCAATCCCCGTGTCTTCGGGTGGATGATCAACTTTCAACGATCTATGTACATTCAACATTTTCTTTCGAGTCAAGTGGAAAATTATAAGTGCGATCGCTAATAAAATCAAATGGATTTTCATTGTTGATTTACGATTTTTGCGAATTGATTTACGAAAGCAATTTCTCAGTGATCGATAACTCAAGAGAATTTTTATGCGAAAATTACGATTGGGAAAGATCGGCGATAAGAAAGTCAGATTTAAATCGGAAACGAAAGAGATATCTTGGAATTGGAAAAGGATGCCTATGCTTTACTTAACTTCTTAGTTTTTATTAGAAATCTTCGACTATTTATGGATTTTCATCTAGGAATCTATCTGAAGATAAGATATTCTATCCAACGCGTTAATTAATTATCCATTACTTTAGGATATTATATAATGTAAAAAGAACTTTTAATGATTATCTTGATAATTAAATTATAATAGAATTTTCTTTTATAGAAGGATTTTCACAAAATGATATGATAGATTTAAAAAGGTTCCGATGAAAAAAGTAAAGGTCTCTGTGTTTGATCAATATCTTTGACGTTAATTTCTTTTCAGCAAGATCACACGATATGAACAAGTATGTAGTAATTAACTTCATTCTCTTCCGTAGTCCGCTCACCTTTGCTTCGCGAGACGCTTCTTTTTTTTGTGCAACGGTTTCGTCTCAATAATCATTTCCTCTAGTTCGAACGTCGGATCACAATTCAGATGATCCTTTGGCGGTGTGAACGATGGCTTAATCTGCTTGTTCAACACTTTGTCAAAGTCGAGCTCTTTCATAGCGTTCACTTGCTTCAATTCCTTTAACGTTGATATTCGTGCTCCTGGTGCCAAGGTTAACAATCTGTCCAGAAGCTCGCATATCGTGGAACTCCAGCCAGTAGGCATCGGCCTTTCATCCTAGATAATGTTTTTCTTTTATGTCCTTCAAATCTTTTCACTATTTCAAAATTTGGAGTAATGCAGACTAAATTATAAATATTTATCCTCGAAAGAATGCGATTTCAATATTTTCAATAATTTTGCAAGCAATCTATTTTCAAAAGATTGGAAAATTTTACAAAAGAAAATTCGAAGGATATTAACAGAAATGGATGAAATGAAATAAATTTTCCTTCGATGTTTCGCGTACGTACACATACATATTTTAAAGGAAAGGAATATTTTGAAAAAATGATACGTTCCATCGCTAAAAAATAAATTGTAAAGAAAATATGATATTTGATATATTTGATATATAAGAATTTCCAAAGAGATAATGAATAATAATGAATAAAAAGATTTTATTTTACTTGAAGGATCTCCAAAGCTTCTCTGTATGTCGTAGTGGAACAAAGGGGATAAGGACGTTCTCCTGCGAGAGTTTCCCAAGCAAGAATTCCTAAACTCCACCAGTCTACGGCATAACTGTAGCCAAGAGTACAGTACTCCGACAAGTAGCACATGTAGATTTCTGGAGCTATATTAGAATAATATTCAACGAAGTTTAATCGGTGTGACTAGCTTTCTTGAATAATCTTCGTTACATTTATCAACATATTTACACATCTATTATCTTCATCGGTAATGATTTTAGAATCGTTTTCGTCTCTCTCGATTATTCATAAAACTCGAAACGAATTAATATTTATAATGATTTAATGGCTTTATACCAATTGACCGTAGCGGTCAAAATATAATTAATTCATACCTATGTATGGTTTTGTTCCTGACATCGACGAAGCTAATTCTCCACCCTTCAGCACGGTTGCGATGTTGAAATCTGTCACGTGCGCGTGTCCTAAACAGAACATAAACTTCATAATCGCACCTTTATTTATTTAATCACTTCTTTATTTACTATTCACAAGAACTATTTATAATTACAAGAGAAAAATAGTTGATAATCGCGCGATTCGAATTCACTAAATTATCATCATCGTTCTTTTATCCAATTTCACGTTTTTTTTTTTTTTTCCTACCTTGTCTCTTACCCTTGGATAATGATACGAATTTGATTAATCGTCAGCTGGTGATCGTTATGTATCATCTGTCATATGACGCAAACGATGTCACACGCGTGATTCAGTTTCGAGAATCGAATATCACGCTACTTTTTACGATCGGACTTTTTTGCGGAATTTCTATGTTACCTGAGTATTACACTATCCACGAGAGATGAGATATGACGTTTCAGAGCAGACGAGTGGAAAATATCGATCAATGTGCACTCAGGGTTAATTCGCGTTACACTTGATTTCGTATTCGTTATTTTTGTAATCATATCTTTCTCGTTATTTTCCTTTCTTTCATATTTTTTTGGATATTATCGTTACCATTAATTAGAAATGATTATATAACATGATTTGAATAATTTAAAAAAAGGTTTGATAGAAACATTTAATAGAATCAAAAAATAAAGCGTAGGATAAAAGATCATCGAAAGAACGACGGAAGACAAATTTCGCGGTTCGATGGATGAATGAGATAGAAATCTTTTGATCAAAATTAACTGAAATCTCTTTTCAGGGATTTTTTTAAAAGCTCACCAACATCGACTGATGAAAGAGTTTAAAAGGGATAACGGTGAGTATGCGAAGAATATTTTCACGAACAATGAGGTGAAAATATGGCTAGCAAGATGAAACGCGAGCAAAGTTGACACTCAGTCTGGGTAATTTTAAATGATGCAGAAGCAATTTCGAAGCGCAAACAACTGTCGGGCAAATGCAACGGGAAATTAGGATCTTCTTTGAAGTGTGAATGTCCTCGGACGAGTCTCTTTTTTCGAACGATTGAATACCTCGTTTCTATGATTTTTTTCTCCGAATGAAAAATTTTATTGAAAGAGAAAGGAATTATCTCTTGGAGATCACAAAATGATGAATTTTTGAGGCCCTCTCCTCCAATCAAAATTTTCACCGCTCGTTTCTTTATAAATAAAGCTGGATGAAAATAAAGAGAGAATAGAACACAAGTGACTTGTCATCTGTCGAAACAAACATTGAAAAGATAATAAAGATTCACTGTACGATTATATTGAAATATTTTATATTTGCTGTGTTTTCAATATGACTTTTTTAATTTTTATTCGATCTTAATTTGAATTTGAAAATCCAAAATATCGTATAAAAAAATATATTTTTAAATAATTATGAAAAGAAACAAACTATTTTATTATTATTAAAAGAAAGAAACAAGTTATTAAGATTGCTGATAACGTGAAAAATTTATGTAAAAAAAGGAAAATTCTATAAACAAAAATAATTGCTGATGAAATGATTTAGAGATGAAAAGATTTTTATATCTTTTTATGAAATTATGAATAAACGTTAATTGTTTATGAGTTTTAAATAAAAATTGGCATGCTGCTCAGACGTAAAGAGATTTGTTCTCGAGATAATAAAATTAAATTTCATCTCCATATTCTTTCGAAGCTTTGAGGTTGTGAGTAATTCGTGCTTACGTTTTTGTAGTTGAGCGCGAGAGCTTTTTCGTGTTGCGTCAAAGGATGAAATTTTCAAAGCACGTGGCTTCGAGGTCGTATGGAAAGCATAAAATTATTTATGGGCTGAGTCAGCCCGTCGCGACTAATAGAGAAAGAGAAAGAGAGAGGGAGAGGAAAATGACCGGATCTGAGGCCTACGTCACCGGAATATAACGTGGTACTTTATTGTAGCCGTTCTTTGACCTTTGATGAGCAATCAAAAGCGGTTCTCCATCGATACATCTTCTGGGAAAATTCATTTCTGAAAAAGTTTGTTTAATTATGTTAATTGAGATTAATTCGATTAATCGTTACATAAATCGACATAAATAATTATTAAATTTAAATGTGATATACACTATTGGACAGATATTAAATGCGAAAGATATATTATACATAAGTAGTAATCAAAAGTAATCATTTCATTTATTTGTGTTGTTCGAAGTTCGAAGTGACATCAGGAAATTGAAATTAAAAGAAAATGATTTTAATTAATTCTCTTTCGTTTTCATCTACCGAGGAAGAAATAAATTAAAAGAAGTCATATGAAAACAACCATTTGCTCGAGATAAAATTTCATTTCATAACAATGAAAAAATTGAATTAAAATTTATTTAGTTATGGAAATTTATATTTTGTTTTGTTATAAACGTTATTTATTTATTCACAAAGAATTCTTTTTAAATTTCGTTAACATTCCCTTCTTTCAAGAACGATTTTGTACGATTTTTGATTTTTGAAGTTTCATCCATCTCATTAAATATCCGTCTGTTTTTTATCGCTTCATTTATGAAAAACGTAATTTAATGATAATTTTCGCGGAGGATCAAGTATTTACGTTTAATTTTGCAAACTTGTTGCAAATAATTGTTAATAAAAACTTTAAAATTGTGTAATGTTCGTTCAAGTAAAATAATAAATCAAGTTTTCAAGCAAATATTCTTTCCAAAGTTATTTAATAGTTTTATTTTTTTATTTTTCTCTATGAATAATTCGAAGAATATTTCTGAATTATGAACGTTGGCCACTCTTGAAATTTTATCATATTTTCATCGATGAAGAGATTCATAGCATAAGAAAAAAGAAAAATATTCATTGTCGATTTGTTTTTTTGATATATATATATATTTGAAATAAATATCAAATGGTTTATCAGAAAATTGGTATTGTATAAAATATATATGATATATATATATATAGTAACTGATCCAATATAAATTAAAAATTTTATTGTTCATATTTTTACTATTGTATTTAATATGATATTTTTTCACATAGGTTATAAGATTTTTTGTCTTTTACTAAAAATTGAAAATTTTTGACATAACTCAAGTATTTTTCTTCTTTTTTACGTAGATACATTTCATTTTTCCATCCATGGAATTGTAGCACGATATTAAATATTATCGAAAAATCGTTTAAACGGCACCAAAACGAATTCCACCGAGATCAATTTGAAAATCTGATTGGTGAAAAATCTGATCGTTAGAAATTAGATATTCACATATATCTAAATAGCCGTATATATGTAAGATCACGAATTTTTAAATTTTTAATGCACAATTTTTATATATATTCCGGATATATTTCAGTTTTACGTGTGATTTTAATATATATGCAAAATCAATCCCTATTAGAAATCTATGAAATAATATAATTAAACCCTTGCAATTCATTCGAAATGAATTCACAGGTTGGTCGATTGCTATATACATCCGTGTAAATCAAACATAAACGGTTCGGTTGATATTCAAACGAAATAAGCGTACATTTGTCTATAATACTAGTTTCTCGATTTACAGAATTTCGAATCCTCGTTTAACTGTGTCGAACAACTCATGTGTCGAATATGCGTTTAACGAACTTGCGTGTAACGTCAAGCTAATTAAAAAGGAACGTATGAGTCGATTTCAAACGTACAAATTCTTTTAATTTAATTTTCATTTCACTCATTTCCAATGGAATATATTTGATCATCGTTGATCATCATTTATCATCTGTTTCCAACTATGCTACTTCTAACTATATTTTCATTTGATTATTACGTTATGTACGATGTGCACGATTATCTGTACGAAGTGTAATTCGCGTTCCATTAAAGAGGAAAAAGTTCTTAAAATGAATTTGAATCCGTATTTCCAACTTACCATATATTTTTCAGAGATGGCTACTTTAAGATGGATCTTGAATACTTAAATTATATTAAATTACAATGCGGAATTTCGTTCGAACGATGGATTGAAATTTTTATGCATTTTTCTAATTTATATCAAGTTTTTTTTGTCTTTATTTAAAATCGCTCGGCCGATCTCTGTTCACAAATAGTTCCAAGAATTAAATACATGTATATTTCAATCAATACTTCCCATTCGTGTAAAATGTTTGTTATTAATTTAATTCTAATTTGAATAATGAAAAAATAAAGAAAAATTTAAACAAACGTTGGTAACAATTTCACATTTTTTTGATATATTTTTTTATACTTAAACAAGTATAAATGTATATCGAGTATCGATTTTTCACCGCAAATAAATGAAATAATCATATAAATTGAAATTAATTATACAGCATAGTATATTCTGTATATTTTTGAGAAAATTCTTTTTATCATTCGTCGACACGACAAACTTATTTCGCAAATAATAATGAAATATCTTGAATAAAATATATCGAAGTATTTAGAGTATTAGATATCAGGATAAATGATAATTTGAATAGATGATCATTATTATCAATTATTTTTTTCTGCAAATTGGATTTATCTTCGGGTTATTTTTCACTACGTTAATACGTAAACTGGCGATATTGTTCATTGTTGTATTTCGAGTTGTCTTTTATCAAATTTTCCTTTATTCCTTTATCTATTTGAATTTATATACTTCTTGTACTTCTTGTCATTATTTCGTTTCCTTTCTTCCGACACTATTTTCTGTCGCTTTTATCTTATTTATTAAGATGTCTCAAGGAAAAACATTTTGAAACTTTCTGTTAACTGGGATAAATGAAAGAAACAATAGAAACGTAAATGAATGAGAAATGAATGAAAATTATATTAATATCAACAATTCAACAAAGAATTCGAAGATACTTAAATAAGGTAGAATAAATAAAATAAAGTTTGACGTTTATTTGATTTGATATATTTTTTTCAAATTCAATTCAATCTTTAAGCGAAAAAAAAGTTCATTCATATGTGAAAATATTATTTGAATCAATTTAAATAAAGTAAATATAAAGATTGTATTGCATATATAAAAATAAATTTATAATCATGAATAAAAATAAATAAAATAAAACTAGAAATTCACATAAAAAATAACACATTCTATAGGTATATTATTTTTACTTAGTACTCGAGTATTTTAAAAAGAAGCTTAAAATGGACCAACTTTAATTTAAACAAGTTCACTAATCCGAATGAAATTTTAATCAGCATGAAAAAACTTTTCAGATTAAGACCTCTGTTTAAATATTACGCGATATTTCTCGAGGTATTTTTAATATTTCCCTTGAATACCATTTTCATAAATTACACGCCTTTATATTACTATATTGTTTTTTTCATATGCAATTCGACAATTTACGGAAAATAATTATTAAGATCAAGATTCATTATAAAATATTATTTCATTTGTAATATATTTCGTTGCAATATAAAGTTGAAAACAAACGTATGACATTTATCCTTGAATCTTCTTAAAAGAGAAGTAAAGAATATTCAAAAAAAAAATTTACATTATTTCTATTTCTGATATTTATTTAATTTTCATTCAAGAGAAAGATAGATGAAAATCTTTCAATTCTTCATTAGATCTTAATTTTATCAATCTTAATCTTTTTAGCATCGTACGTTCCACGTTCCGCGATATTTCTTTAATTAATAACGCGATAGAATTTAAGAGTTGGATAAAACGTCTATTCGTTGTAGTTTGTGTTCAGGGAATTTATAGAGAGAGCAATGTATTCATAATTTATAATGGAACGAGCATAATGTAATTCGTATTATCTCGGGAATGTAGCTTGACCGGCCTCCACGGGTGTGGCTAGTTGTTTTAACAATAACTCCCACGCGAATCAATAGTACGATAGTTTCGGAATTTTTTTTAGTTTCGAAATTTACAACTATCGATTTGACCGAGGAGGAAAATATTTACCTCTCGAGTTCTCTAACGAATTTATCATTATTCGAGAATATTTCTCGAGAACGTGGATGATAGCGATCCAAAGTTCAACCGTGAGTCGCTGAATCATGTAGAATTAATTCGCTCTATGAAATTTCCGTTAAAAACGATGACCCATTTAAACTTTTCCGGTGTTCTGGAAATTTTCAAATTATCCATTGTTAAAAGGGAATTAAAGCGTAGATATCGTGTCTACTTTACAAATTACCACGAGGAAAAGGAAAAGAGAGGAATATTGCTTCCTCGATAACGTTTTCTCTCGATAATTGTAACCAGACTCTCGGCCAGAATCTTTGTTTTTAACCATTCTCACGATGAGATTTCCAACGAAAATGAAATTTCTCAGCGATTACTTGAATTATTTTGGAATGGAGAAGATTTGTCGGGTTGACAGGAAAGAAACGAAGAAAAGTCAAATAAATTTTTAATACAACGTGCAAAAATTGAGACGTACCTTCCTCGTCCAGCAGGATGTTATCAGGCTTTATGTCACGATGCACGATATTGTGACTTTGCAAATAATCTAGAGCCAAACCGATCTCGGCGACGTAAAGTATTATGCTCTCCTCCGTGAAGACGACCTCTTGTTGGATATGGTACCTCAGGTCACCGCCGAGCAATAAGTCGGAAACCATGAAGAGGTCCTCTTCGTCTGGAAAAGAAAAAGGTAAGATATGACACAGGTAATATTGCTTCCGACAGTTCATGAAAGAAAAAAACTTTCAATTTCGCGCAAAAAGAAAAATTTTAAACTTTTATTCTATAAATCACTATATCTATCTAATCATGAAGATTTTAATAGATTGTACAAATTTAAAATTTAAAATAAAAAATTTGAAATTTAAAATAAAAAATTTAAAATTTAATAGGTTATTACAAATTCTACCTACGTACATAGAGGATAATAAATTACAGAATAATTTTTATTTTAACAGAATATTATTTTTGAAAATATGAAATTAATTGATAAACTTTTGGTATTTTTGCTTCTTTTTTTTAAATATAACTTTGTAATTGCGTAATATAGAATAATAAATATTCAGATACTTTAATATTTCATTTTTCTATTAATATGAAATATATTCGCAAACAAAGTTATATTTTAAATATGAAAAAATGATAAAACTTTCAGACTAGATTTTGCATTGTGTTTTAAATTTTCCATAAAATCAAAACTCTCGAGATACTTGAAATTCTTTGTAAAATATTATACGAAGATTTTCATAACTGACTGGATCTACTTGTATCTCATCATCGCTCCATTTTATCTCCTTTAATCGTGATACAATTTACCAATTTTGTGGTTCAACAGTAAAGCAAGCAAAAAAAAAAAAAAAAAAAACAAAATGTAAAACAAGCGGAAAGCGAGGAAGAAAGATCGTCGATCGAGTTACCTTGCTTAATGTCCTTAGCACCCTTCTACTATGGAAAATCGATAATAACGAGAGATGGAGGGTTGGTAAGCCTCGTTCGTGGTATTCTAGAGGCAGTCACGATCAGCTTACCTTGGAAACTGAACCACAGGTTCACCAAAAAGGGGTGTTCCAGTTGTGAGAGAATTTCCACTTCGCGCGCGACGTTCTTCAACGCGCCCCTTGCCGCGCATTCACCCTTGTGGACGTACTTCATCGCGTACATGTTTCCAGTACGATCCCGTTTCTGCACTATGCACACCTATTCAGAAATAATTAATTGCTCGTTACCGGATGAGCGATGAATTATGTAGTTGCCACCGACCGATTGTTGTTCAATAACAAATAAAACCCGCTTGAGGGAGAAAAGGATGGATATTTGCTCGAGAAAAAAAAATTGATGCGACGTAGAAGTAGCGAGATATGGAAATTTTCTAGATCGAAAGTTCTTATCCTCGTGTTTCTTTATTGATTAGAATAAGACGAAGAAATTTAACTTTGATAATTTCACCTTACATGATCGCTTGATTGAGTTTTATTCAATAATTTTTTGAGTTAATTTTTATAATTGATTAAATATTTTTTAACGTTGAATATATTATTGGAAATTTAAAGAATAAAAATAAATACATTTTTAAAGCTAAAGTATTAAAATAAAAATAGAAAAAAATAGAAATGATTTAATAATGATTAAAACTAACGGGCATATTCTAGTTATTAGCTTCAATATCGAGTAATAATATAAATTGAATTATACATTATAATCTAATAACGATTTCGATAATTGACCTATTATCACGATATTATTATTTCGTGCATTATCTCGATATTATTACACGGTTATTCAAAATAATGATTTTGATCACATGTTCTACAACCACGTATCTATTTCAATTATTAGAAAAAAAAAGGAAAACAAGTAGTATACGAAACGTTTCTTTTAAGTAAAAATTTTCGTCAAAAAATTTCGTACCTTTCCGAAGCTTCCTTTCCCGATGGCGCGTAGGATCTGAAAGTGATCAAAATTCACTGAAACGAGAAACAAAAGAGATAGAATTAATAATAGAAGAATGTGTTTATCACATTTTGAGGAAAATAAACGTTTCCGCGAAATTCGATTTCGACGTGGAAAAATGTTCATAACGTAGGATACAAGTTATACAAAGCCATCGTGTTATTTCACAAAAGACTAATTAAAAGAAAAATTACGCACACGGGTACCAAAACTCGCGCTGGTTATTTAAACTATGCGTGACAGGAAGTTTATCATCGTTGATGTTAGGACCATCTCCTCCTAAAATCGTGTCCTGTCGTTTGTCATTTTCCGAATGAATCTCAGCTGATGGCGAAATTTGGACAACTTCCAACCATTTGTTTTCACATATGCAAAGTATCACGAAATTTCGAATCGTGAACATTTGACGCATAAAACGCGTTATTATTAAGGTGTCGCTTCTGATGGCAAAATAATTTCCTTCAGTTTCCTAACATTACTAATTACATCTATAAAGGGAGACGTATTTGGATAAATTGGATCTGAAATAGTTCCACAAGTTTACCCGTTAAGAAGTAATAAGTTGGTAATAAGTTAGGGGTGAAGTTGGCGTTGATAGAACTGTCCCTTAATAAAGTTATTTTAACTCGAGGTTGAATCGAGTTCTTGTTTTTAAATTTTCGCTAATTAAAACGGAGATAAAGCGTATTTCCTGAAATTTTTATTTATCTTCGCACCATCTACTCCAAGGAGAAATTGCCCTACATTCTATGTTTGCGAAACAAACCATTAACTTTGGTTCGTTGTAACGAGACATTATGAAACACAATGCAATGATTATTACGAATATTGAGTTCGTTGAAGTGAAGTTTTCACGACAACAATCTATATCAGTTTGTGTAATATGTACGTAACGTTGTCTTAAAGTTCTACAATTTAGTGATATCGGTAGTTCCTAACTAATCTAACTTTCTCTTCGGAACTAAATTTGATAAAACGTTATCATAAATTCTACGTTTCGATAAATTGACAAACTGTTGTAAATTAACGAGAACAACCGATAAACACGCATACATTTTTCCTTTCGTTTCCATCTCAACTCTTCTTGGAAGTTAACTCTTCGAAATTAACGATAAACGCGTGTTCGACAAAAAAAACGATCTCACCTTCTTCCCCAGGAGTAGGCTCGTTCCGTGACTGGTTGGCACCCATTTTTGTCCCTCAATGGATACGTGACGCGAGTGCCGGTGGCCGATGTAACGTGTAGCCGAGAAAAGACATCCACTTGGAATTCTCATGCTTCCACCCACTCATATCTCGGTTATTCATTCGATCGAATATCTTTCTTCTTTTTCTTTTTCTTTTTTTTTTTCCCCTATCTTCAATTTCGCGTCTCTATCCGTTTCACCACGATTTCGCCACAACAAACTCCTCCTTGTCGTCCTTTTCTTGCCCCGATCGCTTAATCCTGTTTCTTTCTCTTCATATTCCCTTCAGCCTCGTGTCTCTTTATTATTAGATATCTACCCGAAGGTCGTTTCTTCCTGTCAAGATTTCTCCCTTGCTATTAATGTCACTTTGTTTCTCTCATTCGATTTCCTCGTCTTTCTCCCCTATGTACAAAGGTTTGTTTACTTTTTTCCACCACCTCCAGTTGCACTCTCCTCCCTCATTTCTTTCTTCGCCTTCTATTTCTCAACTCGTTCTTTCTTCTACTTTGTCATGGGCACAGACATATCAGTCGAAATATGCCACCAATTTCTTACGACGTTTTCAACTTTACTTTCAAAGTTTTTCCGTTACCTGGCTCTTCCCATTCGCCGTCAATTTTCCTGACTTTAGACACTTTGAAAAACTTTTCAATCCTCGAATCCTATTTCCATCACCTTCCCAACTCTCCGTTTTGATTTCTCTCTAGACTTCTCTTTTGTTTGTGACACATATATGTGTCTTTGACTCTTTTCGTTTCTTTATCACTTTATCACTTTTGGAAAATTCAAATTTCGAAATTCTTCACTGTCATCTCGACGAGATCTTTGGAAAAATCGCCGATGATTTCCGCCGATGATCGATCGATCTAGACGCCTGTCCCGTTCATTATTGTCGTGTCGATTCATGGATTAATTAATACCGGACTGACGCTAATTCGCGGAATAACAAGCGGCCGGAAATGTGATGGTTGTTTGGTGGCGACGGTCGATGGCTTTGGTCTGCAACCAAGCAGAAATTTATCGGTCGGAAAGATTTCATGGAAGCCGGTTAATTGGCCAATTAATCGTCAATTTGCGGGTTCATGGGCTGGAAATCGAGATTTCATTGATTTTTACCGCCAAGATGTAGGCGTTCCCTATGAAACCATACAAAATGGAAATCGAATGCGAATTACCTTTCGTAGAAATTTCTTTCGCAATTTCAAAGCAATTTTCCACGATTCAAAAATAAAATACTCGTTAGTGAAAGCTCCTAAAAAAAAAAAAACGAAAGTACAATGGTCGTTTGGTAACAGAGGTTGAAAATTTTTAGAATTCAATTTAATTGTTTTGGGTCGAAAAGAAGAAAAAAAAAAAAGAAAAGAAACGAGAGTTTGAAAGAAAGCTTTTGCGAATAAAGGATGAGAAATCTTGTAATTGACAAAAAAAAAAAAAGAAATTCTACGAACAATAGGGATCTTTGCATCTTGAGGTTGAAACATGCAACTTTTAATAAAAGATTCCATTAATTAGCGCTGATTTTATCGCAGCATTGTGCCATGCGTTTTAAGAAAGTTAATTCTTTTTAAATAAAAGTTCCGCTATAAAAAGGAAAGAAATTTCAGTGAATATGCTTGGATGAATTTGAAAAAGAAGCTCGAAAGATTTTTCAGAATTTCACAGTAAATAGAGGCATCGTTAAACATGATTATTCGATTCAACCGGAAAGAGATGAAAGGGCGAGTAAATATAATTTGCATACTCGCTTAATTCTCGTTTGCCAAAGTGCTACTTCCCCTCTTTCTTTTTCTCTTCTGGTATTAAAGCAACGGGTTAACAGAATTTTCATATTTCATATATTTCAAAGGGCTTTAAGAGCATATGGTAAAAATCCATTCCTTTCTATTCTTTTTAATATTTTCCGTTTGTTTCATTTCGGTTTAAAAGATAATTTTCAATATCAAGATTCACCAAACATATCTGGATTTTTTTTCCACATTGGATACGTGATCGAAATTAATTCCTAGTAAAAATACGAAATGAAATTTTTCTGACACGAGGAAAGAATCGTAAATCCCGAATTAGGTTCTTGACGAGAAAACTATGAACATTTTCAAATTGATTGAAATTTTTATAATTAGTTAATTTTAATCTTTTATTTTAAATTCATCAATTTTATCATCTTATTATACCATTTTATACCATTATAACATTTAATTTTAATGCGACAAATATAGTATTGCTAATAATACGAAAAATCGAAGATTGATAAATCAAATATGAATCGCATTTTTGACAACGTTATGATAGATCAAGTCGATGCAATTTCTTTCGTCCATCCGTTCAAGAACGATATTTGTGCTTTTATTCCATTATTCGCATTTATTGTTTCAGCAAATAAAAATTTATTGACCTCTGATATATTACGAAACTCTTTAATATCGACATACGCGTATACCCTATTGTTTTTCTTCTCTTCGTTCATCCCTTTCTTGACAGCGAAATGTATTTCACAATAAACTGGGAATCGATGGAGCGGACAATATCATAACCGTGTTATGATTTCTTATCACGAATTTTATTCTAGATATACGTTGTATTTCGTAGATCTTGTCTGTGAGTGATATTAAGGGAATCTTTTCATTCGTTAAAATATCTCGTGGATGAGATCCATGTAATATTTGAAAATGTATAAGAGATGTGGAATATATTCGAAGGTGAAAATAAAATAGGTTAGTTCGATATATTTGATTGTAATTTATCGTCGATCTAACGTGACTTACACGTGAAAACATCTCACAGCTATGTGAGTACACGTTGCTTGATTAATTCACAAGTTTGTCGTAAAACTTGTGCCCTTTGATCGATTTCTATTTCTGCCGCAGGATCATGTACGTTGAGATGAAATGTCAAGTATCAATAATTTTCAAGATATATATACATATATATACACAAAACAGCTATCAATTCGCGGTTGTTCTAGTTCCATTTCTCATTCTAGCTGTTATTCATGAATTCTACTAGAAGTTGAGTCACGAAAATATTCAATATGTATATAAAAATCTTTAATCGTAATATCCATGCTATTATCTATTATCTAATTAAACTCGCCTAATATTGAGTTAGAACAAAGTGTCATACAAGAAACGATATTGTTTCATAATTTCATCGTTTCTTTAAAATTATTACTATTATTATTATTATAATTAAAAACTTATTATCAAAGTTATTCTAAAAAACACGAGGACTGATTAGTAACTAGTAAGAAGAATTGGACAGTATCGTCAAATTGTTTTTTCTCTTAAATTCTCGAAGAAAAAATCAATTACATTACTGAATAGTTAAAGGACGTCAATCAAGAAATTCAACAAATGACAAGAAACACGTGAAAATATCGAAAGAGCACGTATTTCCAAAGTAAATGGAAAAAAATTAATAGACAAAAAAAGAAATGAAACGAATTTTCACCACAATTCGTTTTTATGAAAAATTTCAACACGTACATTCGACGATTCAAAAGGTCTTTGGATAGAATCAGAAAAGAAAAAAAAGTCCTTTTAAAAACGTTTCCTTTTTAAAGCTTACGAATCCTTTCCCTTTTTGTGTTTCTTTTCTTTTCTTTTTTTTTTTTTTTTTTATTTTTCAACTTATTCATCGTTCAATTCAACATTCTCGCGGATCAGAAACGGGTCTTTCATTGGAAACGGAAACAAATACGGGCAACCGGAGGAAGTGCATATCGTAAACGAGTCGCGCGGCGCCGGAAGTGGAAGTCGGCACGGTGGATTGTTTGCACGGCTAACGAACGTGACATTAGTCGTGCTAATCCCACTGGTTATACATTGTGCCCGGTACATACCATTTGAAAAGCGACCTCAATGTAAAAAAAAAGACGAGGAAAAAAAAGAGAGAGAGAAAAAAAAGAGAGAGAGAAAAAAAAGAGGGGCGCGTTTGACCCCGTTTTCAAGTCACTTTTCAAGTAAGGTCGGAAACTCAGCGAAACCAATTTCATCTCGACAAATGCTGTATTCGTAATTTCGAGTTTTTTTTTTTTCTTTCTAAATATAGACACATAAGTAGAATGAAACGAACGTAACCCGGAAGCACGAATAACTAAAGGTACGATGGTTACGTTTCATTTTCTATTCTCTATCTACGTAAGTAACTACGTTCTAAGTAAGTAACTACTGACTGTACTTCCGGTTTCCACTTCATTGTTAGAAGTTGTTAGAGCACATTATTTCGTTCGCTTTATTACGAGAATAATAAAAGAAAAAAATTTGAAGATTTTAAATAGTTAGATAGAGAGGAAATAAATCGATTTTAATATTTTAATTAAAAATACGATATTTTCATGTGTTTTTACAACGATTCAAATTATCCAAACATGTTTCTTTTGAAATAGTTTACTTTGCATCAAATCAAATCAATTGGAATAAATAATCGATGAACATAACATTTTGTACTCGTGTATTCGTTTAATTTCCGATTTCAATTATTGGCAAATAATACTTTTCTTCTCAATCAGATTATTTGCCCGATTGTTGCAACTTTGTTCGCGATGGTCCATTATTTTCGATCATTATCCTTTCAATTTTTATATCGTGTTTTATTCTTTCGAAATCATTGTTGTTGTAATAATTTACACAATATTCCGTTAACATACTGATTAATCATTTATTTATATTCGAAACAATATAAATTGTTCTACAATATAATTCTCTCTCATTGTAAATGTGAAATATAAAATACGTACGGATCCATCGAAATGGAACTTTTTTTTAACGTTTTATTATTTCAGACAAGCGACATTTTTTTGACAAAATCCCATGCATCGAAAATATTATCGATGCAAAAAATAAAAAAAAAAAGAACGCCAATTTTTCCCCTTTTTGCAGTACTTATATTTTTTTCTCCTCCTTTTCTTTTTTTTTTTTTCTAATATAGTTGCTCATTTGTACGCATCTCTTTTATATGAAATTCGAATATATTATATTCTTTTTCTATATTATTAAATCAAAAGCGGTTATTTATGTTTCATTCATGCCGATATAAAAATCTGATTCATATAATATCCTTTCTTCTTTCTTATCCCACACTTTCTCTCTCATTTTATCACGCGATATGGGAAGAAACGAGAGGCTCTTTAACGCCATTGAACGGTTAATTCAGTTCACATTTTCCAGGAAATACATACATCAAGTGTTTTTCATTCAATTTGATTAACTTTGTTTATCGATAATATTCTTTTCTTTTACGTCCATTTTGATATACCTATCAAGATAGATATGTGAACTCTTGTATGATATTCCATGCAAATCATCGAGACAAAATTCATAACATAATAATGATGAAAATGTAACAAGAATGCACCACGTAATTACTTCCCTATATATATAGTAATATTATGCAAATATCCACGGAACGATGCAGCAACATCGATCGATCATGTTGAACGTTGAACAGAATTGATTTCAACGTGGATCGATCACGGTTTCTTAATGACTTACTGCTGAGCAAATTGTCGTTCAACGAAGATGGCATTAAAACGATGAAAAATGAAGAAATAATTTTCCACAAATATTACAAATCGCGATAATGGTTTTATTCGATATTCGAAGAGAAAATCATATAGAATGATATCTATCATTTCATCTCGAGTGACATCGAAATAGAAACAATGTATATCTACATATAAAAATCATATAAATTCCGTTGAATAATAAACAAATTCTCTCTAGAATTCCATCGATATAGTACGCGTATGGATACCAGATAAATTAAATTCCATTGTTAATTCTGTAAAACGTTAATTCAAATTTCGATTACCGGTTCGATGCGCGTTCGATTCATAATTGGTATTAAACTTGTCATCGTTTTTAGTCGAACCGTTCGTCAATCGCGATTTCCAGCTTCTGTACGATTTTCCAACATATTCTCATATTCATTGCACGAACACTCTTCAAACAATTTCAATCATTCTGTCACGTTAATCGTACTACTTAAATCTCACTAAAAAAAAAAAAAATAAATAAATAAATTAATAAAAAAAATAAAAAACAATATTCACTCACTGATTCGTATATTAATTTTTCTAATCATCAAAACCGTTTCATGGACACTCATCCTTCCATCGTTTTCACCGTACCAAAGAAACATCCGTGACGAGCGTCGAAGCAATTGAAACGGGAATCAAAAGCGCAATGTCAACAGTGTCGCGCACAAGAAGATCTCAATTCTTGGTCGCACCGTGAAAATTCCCGCGATAATGATTGTGTCGTCGAGCGATGCGCGCGCGATGGCTCATCATCGTAATGGATGAAAATCGATCGACAGACGAGAGTGGGAGGATCGAGGCACGATCGGAAACCGCGCGCGGAAGTCAACAAAATCGCGGAAGTTTGGTTTGGTGGCGGTCGCGGTCGCGGTCGCCGCACGAGTGTCGATGTTCCTGGATGGTTCAACGGAACGACGCTCGTGTACGCGAGTGTGGTGACGGCGTCTGCGCCGAGACGTCGCGTCGCCTCCGTGGTTGCGTTTCAAGCGTGCCGTGCGTGTTTCGGCGCCGCGGCGCGTCCTCGAGCGCGTTTATTCCGGATGGAGTCGTGTAATCGTGGACGAAGAGATTGTGATATAATTGATCGATGGAATTTGTTGAGTGCACGTACGAGACGATAAAAGGATGACTCGAGGAGATCGTTCAGAGGGTTTCTTTTGACGTATTGTGAGAAATAACGAGGGGTATTGAAAGAGTGGATTTTTTTTTTCGTACACCGTAAGATAGCTTCTTCTTCTTCTTCTTCTTCTTCTTCTTCTTGTTGGCTAATAGCGTGTAAGATTGATTCTTAACCCATGAAAAGGAGAGGAAATTTTTATTGGAACAAGAAAATTTCTATCGTAAGATGGAATAATGAAAAGGGGTCTTTGTTAACGATTTCTTCGTGGATGGTATTTTCTCGTTACGAGGGTCACCTCTACGTTTTTTTAAACGAGTCTATATGTTTTTCTTTCACGACGTGATAGATGAGCCGGAGGATCCATCGGTGTGGGCTCGAAGGATATTAATAGCCGGAGAAAGATCGGAATTCGTGTTTCGTTATTTTATACGAGATTTCTTCGGTTGTTTTCTTAGTTACAATCGATGGAGGAAGTGTCGGATTATTGAATTAAAACGACACTGATTGTTTCGATTTAGATGTAACTTTCTACGTTTATTGATAAGGATAAAGTTTAGATATAGATGCTATCAGTCGTTGTATTCCACTTTCACAACAAGCATTCTTTAATCTAACAATTAATCTTTTATATTTTCGTACGTAGAAAGTATTGTTGTTTTATCTTGAAAACATTCTCAGCTTATTTCTCTTATTACTAAAATTCCATCTTTGTAATGCCATTATACAGTTTCTTCAATTTACGAAATTCCTCTCCTTGTGCTCCGATGTTACTTTTCATTCTAGAAATTCTCTAACCTTCCGTGAAATAGGCTCGACATGTTCTCTTTTGCAAATTAATTAAAAATTCCTTGATGATGGAATTTTAATACTCTTTTGAATATTGAAATTTATCAAACTATGAATTAATTATAATTAATTTATTCATATATAGGGATAGCTTTCGAGGTGATATTGTTTTTCATCATTGATCCCTGAATGAACAATGTTCAGTCATCAGAAATGATTTTGAAGGAAGTAACCACTAATTCATTGATCGATCTTTGTTAATTATAGACATTGGAAGTCTTCATTCATGACAGACATAATATAAACATCGACTAAACTTTCATCGTAATAGTAATTGATAATATTGATCAATTTTAACGACTCTCTTAATATTTTAAAACAAATATCATATATGGATGAATCAAGTGAATCAATTTGTGCCGCAGCTTTAACTTAGGGATATATATCATGGTGGCTACATATACGTTTTACGCGACTTCATTATATATCATATATCAACTGAAACGAGTATTTATTAGAAATGAAAGTTACTAAAGGATCAAATAAAATTGAAAATTGAAAAAAATGTATGATAAAAAGTAAGATTTACGTATCGTACATTAAATTCTTAAGATTCTTATAAATCGGAACTATAGGAACTTATGTACCAAGATGTGGATCGTAGTAACTTTCGGATTGAACAATTTCTTGAAGAACGAATGTTCTCATCGAACTCTCTATTCTTTCTTCGATCCTATCTGCATACTCGAAATCGGATCGAGGACGGAACAATAGAAAGACTACTCATTTGATTCGGTTTTTATCCGAGTACTCCATTTCAAACGCGCCGAGAACAATTATCGTCGCTTTTATCCCAATATCATAAGCGATCAAAATGAATCTCTCTCTCTCTCTCTCTCTCTCTCTCTCTCGTTTTCCAGTCTTCATATATCCTATTTCATTTTATCATCGCTGTATGTTCGAGGTTTACCAATCTTGACATAAAAAAGAGTCGGGAAAAAAAACTATACGCTATTAAATTATTATTAAACGATAAAAATAAATTTTTTGATTCCAGCATTTTATACGAAACGAATTTTCCTAATTCAAACGTAACTGTCAATTTTTTTTCGTATATAGGATTCTACGCATCATTTATTATCGTTGAAACTATATTTCCTTCGAAGGTAGAACGAAATAATACTCAAGAAAATTCAGAACGATATTTCTTTCACGATAGAATAAAAGAATATTCCAAGGAAATTCGATGAAACCAGAGCCATATTTTATCATCCATCCTGTGTGCGCTAAAACAAATCGTTAAGATGTTAGTGAAATGCAATAATAAGAATATTTTTATTTCGTTACCAGAGATAAAAATTTTGTTGTTGTCCCTTTTGCGACTCGTTTTCGCGCTTCGATTTCTCGCGGGATGTTGAAACGTTGGCGGAAGCGCAAAGTGTAATAACGATGATGTCACAATAGCGTTAAGGGCAAGGAAGTGCACAGTTTCGAAAACATGAAAGACTTTAGGAACAATGATGATTCTCGATTGTGGTTTGCTGTTGTTCTGCTTTCATCGAAACAACGAAACTGGTCAAAGGTATCGAAGCGAAGGTTGACGACAAAGTTTCCCATCGTCATCGCAACTGCTGTCTCCGTTTCCTTTTACGTGCACACGCGGCAGACGTTCTCTTCGATCAATAGTAATTCGCATTTTTCACACACCTACGCGGTCTATATCACACACATACTACACATATATTCGAACTATATGATGCCTTGACGTTTGTTTCCTCCTTTCACTTCGGTTGCTCGTTGTTTTCGCGTCGAAGGGCGTACGACTTTTCCTCTTCGACGAACATACATCACTTCATCCCCTTTCGGTTATGGCTCGATGAACATTTCGAATTGCTTTCGCGAACGATTAGCCTGTTATGATTTATTCGGCCCGAATATTTCTTCTTTTATCCCTTTCCCAAAAATTGATTTTTTGATACTTGTTCGATTTTAAGGATGCGAAAATTTAATACACGTATTGTGTTTTAATCTGTCGTACAAAATCCTTTCTATATCAAATTCTATGTACATGCATGTTTTATTATGTGTGAATTAATATTTATAACAATATGCTAAAAATAGGCAAAATTTAAAATTTGAATTTAGAATTTATATTAAATTTAATTTAATTAATATTTATTTATTAATCGATATATTATAAAAATTATAAAAATATTTTTTTCAATTTTTCCTATTTTTAATTTTTATTTTGATATCTACGTTTTAGTATAACAAATATATGATGGAACAAAATTACGTGTCCACCGAGATCCGAGTTGTAATACAGTGAACAGTATACGTGTTTCACGGAGAACATAAAGGGTAATACATCTTTATTTAATATTCTGTTGCATACGTTTATTTGATAAACTGAACGTACCATGTAGGTTTGAGGTTTCATCAGAGACACGTTCTTTTGTTAGGGGTTCCAGGTGTTCCATGTATTACTTAGAAGCCTCGTTCCCCGTATTGGTTAATGAATGTTGAATAAACAATAGCTTTCGGAAGATCAGTGTAAATTGAACAAACCAGGTAAGTGCTGGTTCTAAGAATTTCATCGTTTAATCGAAACATTCTTTAATCCTATCAATGTTAATTTCCTAAATTTAAATAATTTCCTTTCTTTTCTCGAACAAGTTTTAGAATTTATCTTTTATTTAACTTCGAGTTAAATAAAGTTAATAAATTTAAAGTTAGCAAAAAAGAAATTTAACAATTTTTCGTACGAAACGTCGTATGAAAAGATCGTAATACTCTGCAAGGACCCGAAAGAGATTTCTATTTTCAAGAGGAGTCTGCAGTCGAGGAATTATTTACGGCTCCTATTTATTTTTGCAGTTTCGCCTCAAGTGGTGAAGGTAGTCTCTTCTCTTTTCTCCCGTTCAATCAACCGGGATGGCCAATTTAGAATAGTCTCCGATTCGTGAGAAATGGGCTTCATCGAAATAACGTTTGGAAGGCGTTTCGATAAAAATGGCTACGAGTCGGAATATATAGACATTCGCGTGATGGATATCCTTTTGTCAATGAGGTATAAAGATTTCGATATTTCAATCAAAGGTAGGGGAGAAAAATGTCACTTTTAGAAATTTTTAAATCGAGAAATATCGTTCCAAGATTTTTACGATAGATTATATATAGATAGAGCCATTATATATTACATTTTTTTGTAATATATGTCGTTGTTAAACTAATAACATATGAACTTATTCTCACAGAATATTTCAAAAGTGTATTTATTTAAGTAGATAAAAAAATAGAAAAAAAAATAGAAATATTCTTTGCCTTTTATTTTTTAAAAAAAGAGTTTTGAATGCTTTTGATTTGGCTAAATCGTAAATACATAAAATATATTTAAAGGATATAATACATTAAATAACAAGTTTTTAAAAGAATTTTATTTTTCCATCGGTTCAAAAGATTTTTTTCAAAGGGATTGCAATAAGAAACAAAATTTTACTTTTACTAAAAAAAAAAAAAAATACTTTAAAAGCTGAACCTCAAACTTTTCCCTCTGAAACTTTATATCCCTCGATTAACAAAGGCACCTCATATTCACCTCATATTCTATATACAATGACAGCAAAAAAAGAAAAGCAAGGTTTATGAAAAAGTTTTTTAACCGAAACTTTTCATCGTTTTACTAAAATTCATCGAGATCTTTCATATCCTATAGTTAAATTCGTCCTTTCAAAGATAAATTTCGAATATCCTCGAATCGATCTTGTAAAGAGATCCTCGTTGGAATTAATCTCTATTTCTATTCGAAACACGTAACGATCGTCTATCCCTAAGCCACGAGACACGTTCCTATCGAATCAATCAAGAAACCGAGCGACCGTTTCACGTAGGGATTGCGGCCTGCGAGCATGGAACACAAAGGCGGACACGAGTTGTTGCAGGATCGATAACGCCTTTACAACGCTACCGGACGTATACGTGAACGAGGCGTATAGAGCACGATGACCAACAACGGCGTAGAACCGTGTCCCTTCGTGAGTTAAGCCGGAGCCCGCTACCCTACGTATATACAGAAAGGAGGGAGCCAAGAGAGAAAGTAACTCGAGGTAGCCTCGTGTGTCTAGTAGAGTTTACCCACGGCACAAACTATAGGTGAAATGGTGGATAGGTGTATTGAGAACCACTGGGTTTTACCTGGCCGTTAATAGGAGAGCGGAGAGCATGGAATGTCCTCGTAAAAGCGAGGGAGAGGGACAGCGAGATTGAAGGGGATAGACGAGGAGAGGATACGGATGGCGGGCTGGTGTTTAAAGAAGGACACTCGATATAGGAGGCATTGTACCCGGTTACCGTCAGCCGTTCCAGGTGCTGGAGGGCAGTCGGCTCTCGCCACGGGACGGGCATATACGCTTGCATTTCCTTCTCCGTGCCAACGAGGGGGAAGAGAGAGAGAGAGAGAGAGAAGAAAAAAAAGATCATCGCGCTTGGTTCGTTGAGCGCCGCGTGTTTCTCAAAGACAAGAACGCGAGAAAAAAACATAAGAGAAGCGACGCGCGACTTCTGGCGTGCTTCTCTAGTCAGCCAACGCGACGGACCGATCGTAGCTTACGTCGTCGTCATCACGTCGTGGTCGTGGTCGTCGCGAACGTCGTCGTGTGTCTGCACCGGGACGCACCAGCCGGCGAAACGCGTGCGAGTGGGAGAGAGTCGTAAGTGGGAGAAAGAGAGAAAAAGAAAGAGAGAGTGTGTGTATGCGTATGAGAGAGAGAAAGCGAGTCCGAGTAGAAGGCAAAAGGGGGGAAAGAGTGGAAGAGTGAAAGAGAGAGAGAAAGAAAGAAAAAGAAAGGAAAAGAAGGAGGGAAGAAACGTCGACAGGGACGGCTGTGGATCGTGTGCCGGTCTGCAGTGCGACATTCGACGACACACACACTCGCCGCCTCCCGTCCTTTCATCGCAGCACGCCGAGTTCTAATCAACTTTCGCGTGCACACACGCTCCTCCGTCCAGAAAATCTGTTTACCGAATCTTCGTGCTCTCTCCTCCACGCTTTCGAACATCGTTCTCTTCGTTTCCGCGACTCCTTCGACCTCGACGCCTCCGAGTTGCCACTCGATCGACGCCGGACGTTCGTCGATACGGTTGCCGATCGTTCACGCTCGCGCGGCTAGTCTCTCTTTTCTAAGAAAGTTCCGTGGAAAGAGGATCGAGGGGAACGTACGTAAGGGCCGGTTTCTAGCGACGCGACTTCAACTCTGATCGAAACAATAAGCAGTAGACGTGTCGTCAGTTTTCTTCGCAAACTTCTACGCGAATTCAGTTGGTGAACAAGTGAAACGACGCGTTCGAAACGTCAACAAAGAAATCTCACGGTTTTGTGAATCGGTTTGCGAAAGAAAGGAAAGAAAGAGAAGCCGACTAACGTTTTTTGCTCGCGCCCGATAGAGAGAGTATCCGGCTGATTATAAACACAAAGAGTTTTCACGCACAAACGAACAGGCACGCTCGTTCCATTTTTTAACGTTGTTTTTATCGTCGATCGTTAAAAAAAAACGAGCTCTCTACAAAGGGAAATACAGATTGGACGAGTGCAGCAGCGTGAAGACGTTGGCAGAGAGGATGTGCAGGAGGTCGGCCTGGTGAAGCAGCCTGGTCGATGTCTTCCAGGCGACGGTCGCGTCACGGACGGGATGCGAGACGAGCCACGTGAATGTTGTACGCCGTTGAACCTTCCTATCCGCCTGCCGAATTATTCTGGACCGGCATGGAGCCCGTGAAAGCCAAGTACGTATTTTAACACAAACGCTCGAGGGAATTTCTGGGAGTTCGAGAAATTTATTCGCCCTGCCTCCTGTCTCTGCGTCATTCCGCTTTTGATCTATTTTGTTCCCCCGCTCGATATATTAAATTGTATCTGCGCTTCAATGTCGACGTTCAAATTCCCGGACAAACTTGCGTGAAGATCGTTGTTTTCGACTTTACATATACATTCGCTACAGGGATTTGAAGTGAAGAGTAGTATTGTAGAAAGCCGCGTTTTCACTGACATGGATTCGTATCTCAGAGTTCGCAACTCTGCGGAGTTTTGTTTTGTTTACTACCTGCTGACTTTTCCCAAGTGAACGAATTCAATCCTCTGTTATGCTTCGTGATTTGAAAGTTATGTGTATTTGCATACCTTTGTGCCGTCATGATTTACATATATTTATAAATGATCTCTTTCTAACGATGATTAATTCCTACGTATCAACGAAATTCAAGAAATGGCGCCAAATCTTTTTCTTGATCTCGTGTTCTTGATCTTTCACGAATTTCGTTTCGTTTCATATAAGAAGTGTTACTGGATAATTTTCTAATTTGTTTTTGTCATTGTAGATATTATTTATTTTAAAATACGTTGAATAGGGACTAGTTTATAGATAAACGAGGAAATTTATAAGAAATTTGCTTTTTTTCTTCAATGATAAAATTCCTAAATATCTCGCGATACACGTCTTGTCTTCGTGCACGACACCTATCGATTGATCGAAATTGGGGAATTTGGCCAGAATTCCATTTTGCCGTTTGCCGCGAGATGTGGTATGAAAGAGTCAATCAGGAACGAACTGTGCAAACAAAAGAGGAAAATGGGGAAAATAATGATTGTTATTGGTGTCCTGATGAATTGTTTCGATATTGGATAAAGCTTGTTTCACACCTGAATGAATTTGTTTTTTTTTTTTTTTTTTTTAGTTTGTAAAAATAAATTTTTTGTAGATTTTCTTTAAGAGATTTTTGAACAGAATTTTTACTATCGGCTCGATTCTGCGTTTTAATATTTCTTATCACGAAATAAAGTAAAAATTCCCGATACTGAATTTATTTTCATTTTTTTTTTTATCTTTTCATCGTTCAGTCATTTGAGAGGATCACATCATGTTGAAGATAAAATAGATAAAATAGATGTAAAACAATTTTCCAACTTGTTGGTTGGAAAATATTTGCAGGTATTGCGAAATTGCATGATTGAAAGGTACCGTTTACAATTAATTCGAGTATGAATTGGGCATGAATTTTAATAAAATTGCAGGCGGAATTGTTATTGCGGTATTTGGATTTTTCGGTATCAAAATATCATTTATGATCAAATTTCACATATGTAACAACAATTGAACGCGTACATACATTTGTTAGAGTGAATTGGTTTTAATAAATTTACCAACTTTTTCGCATATAGACTCGGATACTCGTGTAGATATTTAATTAAGAAAGAAAACAATAACATACTGCTAATAAAAATAAATTTCGATTCTTGTTAAAAAGCATCTTTCCGATGAAACCTTCATTATTAAACTTTTGTATCTAGAATTGTTTTATTCCAATTCGCCATTTTCCAATCGATATTATGCTTCCAAAGAATATCTTCATTTTTTTTTTTCACGACACGATTATCATGGCAGAGCAGGTTCAGTTTCATAAACATTGGATCAACTACAATCAACGACAATGGAGGTCACTAACGATATTCAAACAGACTCGGTTCCACGTACTTACATACTTTACCAATCCCGAGCTCGGGTAACA